ACTGAAGGAGCTACATTCAAGTAAAAAAGTAAACTGGAGACAAAGCAATAGGAAAAAAAAGGAAAGAACAAAAGGGCAAGTTACACCAAAGGTCCCCCAGAGACCTCCAAATCCCCCACCAGGGAAGGGACTTGCCAACCCACCCACTCCAGGGTAAACGCCCCTCGTACTTACAGGTTTACCTGACCTGGCAGTCAGAATTTCCCATTTCTACAATGATGGCCACCCCCAGTTCCTTCTATTACGATGTAAGGCATACCATTTCCACAGTAAGTGTGGGAGTCCCAGCATCACCACCTCCCTTCCCCGAGGACTGAAGTTAACACTTATGCAACCAAGACACTCCAGATCTCAAACACTGGAGTTTAAAATACTCTAAAGCTGGCGCTTCTTCACCTCTGATCCTCCTCTTTTTGGTACTTACTTACAATCACCACCACCACAATGGCACAAATCACTCCCATCATGATCATCATCTGGAGAGAGAGATTGTCAAAGAGTAGTACTCAGAACAGATTGACAAGTTCACATCTTCCCTGACAGCCATGGAACATAAGCCAGGCCCTGAAGGTAGGACAGACAAGGCCTCAAAGTCTCTTCACAGTGAAAGAATTCTATGCATTTGGAATAATTAAAGCCCCAACTATCCTCTCAAAGCCCCCCAGGGGACAACTAGCCCAGTTTCCTTCTGATGAAGGAGATCACAGCACTAGTAAACTCACCTTGCAATTCTTCCACCAGTACTTCCTTTTGAGTTTTGCCGCACTACTTTCAAATTGTGAGGCACCGGCCTGGAGTGCATCTGCTCGGTCGTCTAGCTCTGACAGTTTCTGGTCTCGTTCCAGCACCTTGTCTACATTTACACGCATTATGTCAACAACCTGCAGAAGGAAGAAGAGTAGCAGCAGTTGTATTGGTAAAGAGTTGAGAAAGTAATAGGAGTAACTTGGCCAATAACTAACACTCTGATGCTAACAAGTGAAAGCTGTAAACAAGGCAAAAAGTTGAGTGTAAGAAAGAGCTTTCCAGTTGTTGCCTACTTTGAAGCGGGGAAAAAAAAATCCTGAGACCCCCTGTCAAAGTATCAGCTCAAGTGCACTTAAACCAGGTCCTCAGGCCCACATTCTCACCCCTTTGTCAAAGCTCTCACCCCCCTCATGAGAGTAATTGCGTGCTCGCTCCCCGGTAACTGCGAAGATCACAGAATCACAGAATGTTCGGGGTTGGAAGGGACCTCTGTGGGTCACCCAGCCCAACCCCCCTGCCGAACCAGGGTCACCCTGAGCAGGTTGCACAGGACCTTGTCCAGGTGGGTCTTGAATATACCCTAGAGCTACGTGTTGCTGCCCCAGCGAGGCACTAAGGCGTTACTGCATGTCACCAGCCAGGCCACGGGCACCGACCCGGGCAAGGCTCCCCACACCCTGAGCCGGCACGCAGGCTGCTGTTCCCGCGCCGCAGCCGGCAGGCAGTCGGAGCTGGTCTGGACGCTGCACAGCTTGATTTCCATAACAGATGCACGATGCAAAGTACCAAAAAACTACCAGGCCCCGCTCCTCAGAAGTCATATCTGGAATTAAGCGGCTTTTAAGCATAAAGCAATCCCTCCTCCAGCATCTTTACAGGTCTGCCATCATACCCGAGTATTATTAATGCACTTCTAGCACTGGCACGACAAAAGCGTCCACCCCCTCGGCAACAGATGCCTGTCAAGAACACCGCTGCTGCGGAGAAGGGTCCCGGCAGCCCGGAGGAACCCAGCCCGGCTGGCAGCACGACTGACCTCCTCCACCTGGGCCTGCGTCTGCTGCAGCCGGCGGGTACTGCCCCGG